GTTAGTATAGGTGTTGGTGGTGGGAGTGTTAGTATAGGCGTTGGTGGTGGGAGTGTTAGTGTAGGTGTTGGTGGTGGGAGTGTTAGTATAGGTGTTGGAGGTGAATCGTTAGTATAGGTGTTGGTGGTTAGAAGTATTAGTATAGGTGTTGGTGGTGGAAGTGTTAGTATAGGTGTTGGTGATGTGTTAGAAAGGTTGTTGGAAGTGTTTGCTTCATAGATAGCAGATGCCCGCAACAATCATTGTACTGCAGACATGACTCCTTACACAAAGAACACAAGAAAGATTATTCATCCAATAATAAGGTAAAGTATATATTCTTAATTCTTTATTAATAACTTATCAAATTATTTTATTAAATATAAGGTGTGTCAACTCGATACAATGAAATAAGATAATAACAAAGGCATAATATTTTATTACGTGGTCCAGTGGCTGGCACAACACCAACAATCAAACCACTTTTGTTAAATTCAAGACATCATCAGCTTTCAAATGATGTACATACAATGTATACACCCAGTGCAGCACTTCAGAATGCAGCTCAACTTGAAAGGCAAAACAATAGGTTTCCAATTCTCTTGATATTGAAAATATTTCGTTTTGTCCTCCAAATTGAGCTCCTTTGATGTCACATGCAGGGTCTATTAAATAATATTCCTGTGTGCGCTTGATCTGAAATGGGAAAGATCATGTCCAAGCTAAAAATGTCAGTACTGAAAGACATCATGATATATCCTACACCTTTTACATCCCCTGCCAAGATTGTAACCCTTTTCTAGTATTGAACCCCAACCAAAATATGCAATAAGTATATATCTACAGCATACACTTCACTTAGTCATGCATATTAATTTTTAATTTCATGCCATGCATAAAGTTGTTTATTATATTTATTATTCTAATATGTCACTAAATGATAGTCCCCTAAACAGTTCCCTGCGCCATCTTGAAAGGTAGCAGGGCCTTTGCATCGAAGCGAGACGAACGGTGAGCTTGCAATGATAGAGACCTGTGAATAATATTATTGTCCAAGTTGTTAAAAAAAGATCTCTATCAATGTAAGCTCACCGTTCGTCTCGCTTCAATGCAAAGGCCCGGCTACCTTTCAAGATGGCGCAGGGAACCGTGAAGGGGACTATTCATGCATCATAAACCAATATTCTTAATTTAATTATTAATTATCATAATAAATGACTTAACTGAATCCTTTTCAAAATCACTATAAATACAAACAAAAATACAACCTTCAGAAACTGGATTGTATGTATTCTTAAAGTATAGTGAAAATAACTTCCATCGAGTAATAATTTGCTATTACCTCTGCCTAAGTCTCTAATATATATTACATATTCTTAGTGTATAAACCTTTGGGTGATGTTATCCCATTTAAACCATTATCATTCCCTTGACTATCATTGAGGGCCATAAGTTCATCAGAGTGTAAACTGTTAAATGTTCCCTCTTGAAATAATGGTTATTATTATTTCTTTGTTTAATGGTTGCACATGAGAAGATACATGAATATAGATACAACCCAAACAAAGATATCATTCTCAAGAGAATGACACATGGTTTGAAATGGGAAACCATTCACCCCCATGACAAAGAGGTCCCAAACAAAGATATTCTCAAGAGAATGAAATGGGAAACTTCACCCATGACAAAGAGGTCCCAAACAAAGATATTCTCANCCCATGACAAAGAGGTCCCAAACAAAGATATTCTCAAGAGAATGAAATGGGAAACTTCACCCATGACAAAGAGGTCCCAAACAAAGATATTCTCAAGAGAATGAAATGGGAAACTTCATTCATGACAAAGAGGTCTCAAACAAAGATATTCTCAAGAGAATGAAATGGGAAACTTCATTCATGACAAAGAGGTCTCAAACAAAGATTTTATTCTCAAGAGAATGAAATGGGAAACTTCACCCATGACAAAGAGGTCTAAAATGCAGCCTCTATTAGTGTTGTCATGGAATAGCAGCTGCACAGGATACTAAATGGTCTATAGCAGTCATTTATATTGAGTAAATTGTCACTCAGCCCTCCTTTATATTATTTGTCACTAAGCTTTGCTGTTCATGTTTCTACAAAAATTTTATACAGAACACCCCAATGCTTTATTAACATTATCTTAAAGTTTGTATTTATCTATCCAAATATCTTATCTTGCAACCAGTTTCAAATTCAATGCCTTCACGATTTTTCCTTCAAAATTTATCACCCATTCTTGGAAGTGTGGCAGCTCACTTTAGCAGCATTCACCTAACTTACAGAGTTGTAGCTTTGAGCTTTAAATATCATCAAATAAGTTCTTAGGTACTTTTTTTGGTGACCAGCCAAATCCAGAAGAAGACTCTCTATTGTATGAATCTCTTTTATATGAATCCCTATTGTACCCACTGGTAGAAGCATCAGGATCATAGTCTGCAGCAGACAGTAACTCAATCCTATCATTTTCTTGATCAAATCTTGAATATTTAACAACCTTAACATCATCACCTGTCAAGTTAGTCTGTGATGTAGCTTGATCTCTGCTGATCCCACGATGTAATTCTCTGTCTCTATCTGTGTGTCTGTCATGCAGTCGTCGCTTAGCTGACTCTGCCCTTTCAGTCCAAGTTTCCTGTGAAAGCAAAAGTTATTGTTAGGTTCAATAAACAACCATTATTATCAGTGAGCAAGGGTAGTGTGAAGGTAAGAGCACTTGTTTCTGAATGATATAACCCCAGTTTAATTCCTGGACTTTGTGTCCTGTGTGAGTAGAGCTGCTCATCGTTTCTCTCTTGTGCTGCGAGGGTTTTTATCCTGTTTTCCTCCCTCTGCAAAAATTAATGAATGAGCTAGTCTGCAACAAGGAACAAATGAGTAACTGTAATGAACACAGTGAGGTATTTGACCTGTTTGAAAAATGACTTTGGATATTGTACTGTGGCCCTTGAAGGTAACCAGTGACTGCACCAAGGTGTATATTTATTTCGACCTTGATTCCGAGGGATTTATTAATTGAGATTTAGATCTCTACCTTTCTACCATCACCATTGAGGTTTTCCTTTCTTCTTCTTTCTGAAAAACATGAATGGAACTGAGATGAATACATGGATTTTATTTATCATGACTAAAAAAAATGTTTTTGCCATGGTAAAGGCTAAAAAAAGTGTATTTTATACTCTGTTTGCGTGGACGTTTTTGAACATTTTTGATAACATTTTTAATAAAATCATCAATACATTAGAGGCCAACATAAGCTGACAGATCGAAATCACAAAATGAGTCTGAATGATTTACTGCCTTTGTTTCCATTCTCTTTGACACTGTACAGACTTCACAAATATGCTAAATATGGCATACATTTCACCAAGATCATTTATATGACTTCATTAAGGCAAACAATGAGGTCAACTTGACTTTAAATTTAAACTTATTTCTTGCCATAAGCAAATTTCAAAAGTGACACATGCTGTAAGTTGAGGAGCGCAAGTCAAAATAACTCTTAGAATGGTCACTATAAAAAATTTGCAATCTCTGACTGCAAGTACAGTACCTCTCCTAACAATATCTTTGCCTTCATTAACATATTCCGTCGACATATCATCTTCTATGATAAATGTCTGGAAGCCCAAGATGTTTAAACACCGGGTCCCAAGGCTAAAGTACGTTGCTAAGCAAACGAGGAGCACACACATTGGATAGTATAGGTTGACACCCTTAGAGATGAACGACAGAACATCCATGTGACCCATAAACTGCAGGAGAAAAAATGAAGATCACATTGTCACATTTTCTTTGTTTTATTTAGTTGTATAGCTCATGTTATGTAGGGCTTAAAATAAAAGCCTGGTCAAATTTGTTATTGCTTGGTAGTACCTCATTTCTAGCTCAACAATACTGGTCAAAATGACCAGCAAGGCAAAGATTTGACTAGAAAGTCAAAGTTGTGGCTTGGCATTGTCCTTCCAGCCATAATTTTAAGCCCTGGTTAAAATAATGCCTTGACATTGGCATGTCCATGTCTGTGCAGTGTTCATGTTGTGTTTCGGGCATTTGGTTGGATGGAAAGCAAATTCCTCTGCAATTTGATTTGTCCAGTATATGAATTGCCATGTCACCATCATGTTCATGCAGTGAGTTTTTTACAGTCATTCAAAAACTTCTCTGTTCACAGTGATAATAATGGTGCCAGAAGTGTTGATGTGCTGATCATTGTGACAGCCATACTAGTGGTAAAGATTGTTTAGTTGGTTACTGATACTTACAGTTGTGAATGAGGACTCCTCTTTGTCATTAGCACCTGTAACATGGCCATCCAGATGAAGCATTGCAAGGAAGTTCAAGGACAATGCATAGGTCAGTCGACACAAAATACTGGGAAAAAACAACCAAATATTTTAGTTTTTGACAATTGGATTTTCTTCACTGGCTTCTTTCCAATAGGTGGCACTTCCCATTAGCAAAACTAATGATCAATGCTGCGAATTTCTGTTTAAATTTTGACCAATCAACTAGTGAATTGCACTTTGGCAACATACTGCTTGGCATGCAAAACTTAGAAGATAATGCAGTCTGCATTGCTTATTGCAAATGCACCTGGACTTCCAATTGCCAGCCAATGACAGTTATTGCAATACCAGAATTTCAGGATTTAAAAGCCATTTTTGAAAATTCCTGTTCCTTATATTAAGCAAATTTCTCTATTTTAGGTTGATTACAATAATTGACTTACAGGCCACTAAATAGAAGGCTATATGGATCAGTGTGATGATTGGGAGCAAAATAATAGTAGTTGAAGATTCTCATCCTGAAGACTGTGTAATAAGAGCACACACACATGTATGCAATGATGAAGAAAGAAACCAACTGGGAAAGAAAGAAAAGAAGTGAAATAAGGTAAAATATCAATAACATGCATGAACGAAAAGGAAATGTAATATAAAGCTACTTCTCCATCCGACTTGCAATATCAAGTCTCTCAGGTTTTATAACCAGAAAACACAAGGAGTCAGCACATAAAAACTATCAATATTTACAGCTTAGTGCAGTGGAGCTGAGGGTGCTATCTAGTTGCCCCTGCCCCACTTCTTTTGTTTTACTTTTCATTCAATCACTTTTTCACATTCCCAACCTAATATTGGTAAAAATTTTTTTACTGCTTGGTGTCTCTGTATACCTTGTGATCAAGTATTCTTCCCAAAAAGAAATAACAGTGAATAAGAAGGAAACTTTTGAAAAATAATACAGAGCGGTATAAAGCAATGTTTATGAATAGATTAGCTATCAATAATTTAGGAATTCGATATATTTTAATTTCATTTATTTTAATCCTTAAATTTATATAGTTTTTAGTGGTACAATTTTAAATATAGATATGTGTTTCATTTATATAATAAAGACATTATTATTATCATTATTATTATTAAAAGCATTTGAAAAATAGTTCGTAACATACTGGTGTTTCAGACATTAGTTCTTTGTCAGAGTAAAAGCAAAATAATACTAAAGAAAAGGACACATGGTCACAAAATATCATCTAAAGTCAAGTAAATTATAGTATTAACTGTTTTTAGCTTACCTCTACATAAAAGTAAAAGTAGCCAGCGCCTACGGCATTGATGAATATAGCACAGAGTGACAGTATTGGTTTGGTGTTGAAGAAGGTAACTTCTGACCATACAAGAGCCAAGGATAATAAACACAAGATTATGGCTAGGATACGGAGTAAGATGGGAGATATCCAGATCTTCCAATACCATTCTGGAGATCAAAGGAAAGGAAAGCATTCAAATGACATTTAAAATAATGATTGTGATCAACATGATATGACGTTTCAATATGAATGCATAATTTACTATGGTTGATGATGGTGATGATGTTGGGTTAAGATAATGATATGATGATGATGCTATGATGATAATAACATAATTATGACATCTTAATATGAATGCATAATTTACTATGGTTGACTATGGTGATGATGTTGGGTTAAGATAATGATATGATGATGATGCTATGATGATAATAACATAATTATGACATCTTAATATGAATGCATAATTTACTATGGTTGATGATGGAGATGATATCAGAAGCGATGCCAGTAGTGGATGATATAAATGATAATGACAATCTTTGAAGGACAATAAAGCTAATGTAGCAATAATAATCATGCTAGCAAATAACCTCTTTTACTCCAGTAACTGCATATATATGAAAATACTCACCAAATACTGGTCCTATACTACAACAATAGTTTGAAGGTTTCTTAAAAGAGGACTTGAAAGTTCTATGATGAATGGGGAAAAAAAGGTAAATTTTTACTGGTAATCACTGAAGCGAGATCAACTGTCAAAGACTATAAAAGTTGTAAGTGTTAGATTTATTTTTGGACAGTAGACACCCACCTGTCAGTATTGCTAGAATTTTTCATGACGTCTTCATGTTCAAATGCTTGATCTAACTCAGCATTGTACTGGCTGGGAAGAAAACAAGTAAGGAGTTTATAATGAATAATTGTTACAGAAACTATATGTAGTAACAACTCTTTGTATGTGGATAGTTCCATGACACTATAAGATATAGTGGTTAAAATTGTGAAGTGAACACTTTTGAGGGGGAGGGGTGACACGTTAGGGAGGAGGGCGTGGTCGGTCCCAAAAGTGAGTTTACCCTTTATTTTCATGTGACACTGCATGGACCATGTTGGCATACAAGTAAGGAAAGATTTTTTTGTTAGCTTCTATTGTTATGTCCACCAACATGTCTGCCACGTCTTTGTAGTTTTATTCCCACAGGAATACTCAAATGCTCTCTCACATTTTTCATACACTCTTTAAGAATTTGTATAAACCAAGAAAGACCAGACTACATATCAAGATAAATATGACAACTTGATATTTTTATCTAGACTATTTTCCTATGATTACCATTGTGTTCTTCTAGCTGTTTGTGTTACTACGATGACTCTCCTGTGTAGTTTTACCAAGGCCTTTTCTGAGTATGTATTGACAATCTTTTGGCCTGATTCTTTGAGATAATCATCATAATCAACATAATCATCTGTTCCTTTGCTGAACAGTGATTCTGAGGACTCTGGACACTGCAAATTAATGAAAGCAAATGGATAAAGTTGATGGTGATTGAAAGGTGAATGAAATGAAGAGTAAATGTGACTAGGTTTTGTGCATGCAATTGTACGAATCACTGAGATATTAATTAACTGTTGACATTATATGGTTAAACATTCGGTAATCAGGCATTTAAAACATTAAATTGATAAATTAGTTTTCTCTAATTTTTTCTAATTTCTAGTGTTTTTTCAAGACGTTTTGGTTGAGATACTCGTAGTATCTTGACCAAAACGTCTAGAAAAAACACTCTACAAAAAATTGGAGACAACTAATTTATCAATTTAATACTGTTGACCTTATCATCCTCCTCCTTGTCATCACCATCACCATCATTATCTACATCACCATCATCATCTGCATCACCACTATCAACAACATTATTTTCACCACCACCATCACCATTACTATCATCGTCGTCGTCGTCGTCATCCATCATCATCATCATCATCATCATTATCTTCATCATCATTATCATTACCATCATCATTATCATCATCATCATCATCATCATCATCAATGACAATCAGTTTATTAGCCATACTATACTATATTACCTTTTTAATGATGATGTCTATACACTCCCTTAAAGGATCTTTATAACGAATGTTCTCAGATGCCTTGCGCACTTCCTGATATAAAATTATACCATTATCAAATTATTGAATTTTTGGTCTTAAAGAGGTCCCTATTAGTAACTACCCAGATCCCAACCAAACACCAAGGAAGAGCTAGTACTTTTTATATGATCAAGAATAGCCTCTCACCTCTGGGACCCAGATCAATGCTAAATAACACTTTGATAATTTATCTAAGTTAGGCGTGCCCTGCCTCTGACCAAGGTCTTTAAAGGATTATTCAAAATTTTGCCAGAAGGTTACTTAGTGAAGCACATAGGACACAAGGTCTCCTTCAAGGTTCATTGCACCAATTTCTAAAACTCTAAAATTCCAATACCAATCCCACAAACAACCCATTAAGATTTACATGAATTATAAACACAAACGACCTATTAAGATTTACATGAATTATAAATATTTAAGAACAAAACATACCCAATTCTTACCTCTAAAACATCAGCCAGCTGTTCCTCTGCTTCCTCTCTTTCAACACTCAGCTTAGAGACTTTAAAATATGCATGTGCTAGTTTGTATTCCAGTTTAGCAGAGTTCCATACATTACGTGGGATCTCTACCAGGCCATAGCCCATTAGCATGACCAGGAGAAGAAGACCCCACGTGTTGGAAGCTGTTATACAGATAATGACAAGCTTGGTCCTAACAAAATAACCATCAAAATAATGTGAAAAACCATCTTACGTATGCAGCCTGCTGTGACATGTAGTTTTTTCAAAGATCAAAGCCTGTCAGTACAAATAGGGCTACCTATAAAAGAATGTCTGGCCATATTTATTTTCTATTTCCAGCCATCTTATTATCCTCAACTGTCATTTTTACACAATATACATGTAGTCGAGTGCCCTGATGACCACACAAGAAATAAAATACATGGCTATTACTCACCCATCAAGTTGCAGGTCTGGCCTTGCGATGACATAAACAAGGAGTATTAGGAAGATGACAATATAGCTGCCGTACCAAATAGCATTCTCAAATAATGCTGTTTTAATCTTTCCTCTGACTGTAAAGTCACCAGCATAGGAATATGACTGCATTATTGGTAAGATGATCCTAGAAAGGTCAATAAGAGTGATACATTATGGAATGTCTGCAGGGGCCTAGAGAGATCTTGATTATGGGGGGGCAATGTACCATTTTCCCGCCAAATTAATTATATTTTGTTGCAGAAAGCAAACTTTTGGGGAGGGCATGTACCAACCAGCCTTCCCCCCTCTCTATGCTAGTGATTGTCTGGATGTTAAAGGTTAAAGTGATCCTGGGAGAAGCACTGTTTGCTCCCCCCCCCCCCCCCCCCCCCCCCCCATATCATCATGATCAGGGCTTAGGATAACAACCAGTCAGTCATCAATTCCCAGCGAGGTGGGAAATTAATTTTTCCGAATTTAATTCCAAGGGTCTTTTGCCTGGAATAACCTCATTCCCAAGCGCTATAACTTATCTATATTTCTATATCTTCATGTATTTCATAAGTGCTACGCGGTCCACATATTCTCATCTAGTCATCAAACCAAACCCATTCAAAATATCAATAACAATATAATTACAGAACTCTACAATAAAGTATATATTTACCATGATAGGATCTGCGAAGACCAGTAGACCACCCTCCATAAATCAGGCAAAACATTATCTGGAAGGTGACTCCAAGGAGGTTGACATATTGGGTCAGCTGGAACCACCTTTGCACTTGTAGGACGGGCAGTTGTCGTGAAATTCAAAGACGAATTCGAAAATAAGACATAGCTGGAAGTATTAATAGCTAGATTTCCGTGTTTCTTTAGACATCTTCTGTAAAAGGTCTGTGAAAACACATTAGGAAATAAGCTTTATTAAATTAATAAGGTTACAAAAATAGTCTGATTACGTCTACAGTTTGAATTTTTTTAAAAATTAAATTACACGAGTTTTTGAGATTTTTTTCTAAAGCTTAAGAATTAGGTTTAAAGTATGTGTTATACTCACATCTGATACGTCTAAAGGAAGAACTTCTACAATAAGAAAAGAAAAATACCAAGCTACAAATACAGCTAATGTCACCAAGAAATGCTGCTTGCGCCAATTGCCGTAATAATGAAGAAGACAAAGCGTTACGCCGAAGCATACGAGCATCTCTAAGGCCAACGAAGCCCCACTCATGATTGTGATGAAGATGGGCTCCCAATTGAAGAGTATTGAAGAGCTAATGAATAAAAATATGATGATAATAAAGACATACGAAGAACTTTGATAAATCATCCACATATCCCACAATACTGTGCGAGCCCTCGTGATAGATGAGAGAGACTAGGGCCCAACAAAACTATATTTTCTTGGGAGGGGAGGGTAAAGACAATTCCAACTGTGATTTCATTTTTCCTATTAAAAAAGCCCTAAATGCGTTTTTCTTTCTCCTATGTATGCAGTTTTCAAAGTAGCTTATATTCTTTTGACAAGAACAAAATAATTGGAATACTTTTAAAATTATTTTGATTTTTTCCAAGCGTAACTTTTGCATATTCGAGTCCAGGCCACTCAAACGTTAGGGTCTTGTACGCAGTTTAGCACATGCGAAAACATTACGGGAAAGTAGAAATTTTATGCGTTTTTTCTCTCAAAATTTTCCGTTTTTTATAACTATTAAAAGGTAAGTCATAAAATATCGGTATACTTATGTCATGAGGCATAGATCTGGAAAATATTAAAGAAATTTATGGTGAAAAACTATTTTTACCTCACTGTCATCAGTCTATCTTCTCCTGATCTTATGCAATTATTGCAAAACGTAAAATCAAAACTTAAAGTACTGATGTAAGAAAAGGTTTGATAAATAAGTTATGAATGTCTTATGTTATACTTTTGTATGTTTATTGGTATAATCATTCAAACATTCGTAGTATATATAATTTTTTTTCATTTTTGAAATCAGTTTTTWAAAAAAATCAACCTAATGGGGGCAAGTTCATCAACACTAACTTCATCAGAAAACCAACAAACTCCAGAAACACCCAGCCCTCCATCCAGTGCCACTCAGACGCAAACTTCTGGGTGTCCAGTGCAGCATGGGGGGAACCAGCAGCTGGGAGAGTGGAAGAGTGAGTGCCCAGCTAGTGCTGCCACTGCCTCCATGGGAGGAGGATGTCCCATGAAGAAAACAGACGATATTGATCCACTAAACATGGTAAGTTCATTCACAGTTAGATAACTATAGTTTTTGTGGTTTATTTTCGAAACTGCCTGATCAGATCTCTTCCTGTGCAATGATTGGCTGGATTTTGATGGGTTGTCAAAACGAGATCACCTGAATATTTTTTGAACAGGTCTAATTGGCATATTTTTACTATGAGGATGAAAATAACTTTTCATACACTAATTGGTTCATGAAGAGATCTATTCCTTGTTGAACAGGGGTGGATACAGAAATTTGCAAGTGGCATGTCCAAAATGGAAAAAAGTGACGATATAGCGACTTCATCAATAATCCTGATCTGACTTATTTAATTGTTCTTAGATTTATTTTTAGATTTTATGCAATTTAATCTTGTCTTGGACTAAAGATTTGAGAAACAGAAATCATGAATAAATAAAAGACTCATAAATGTACAAAAAAAACCAGGCAGCTTGTGGGGAAGGGGGGGGGGGGGGTGCGCCTAAGGACACCCACACTGGATCTGCCAATGTTGACCTTAGGGGGGATAAAAAAGCATTCAAGTAACAAACTAAAAAGA